GGGCCGTTCTGGATGAATACCAGAATGAGCCGTTTGGATTTCAGAACAGGCCGTTCTGCAGGTAATTTTTGTGCGTATTGTGGGAGTTCAGAACGGGACGTTCCGGTATCGGTACAGGCCGTTCTGGCCAATCCGAAAAGTCTATAAATAGGGGTTGGGGGCCTTCAAGAGAATGTGAGTTTTTAGAGAGAAGTTTTAGAGAGAAGGTCTCTAGGTCTGTGAGCTCCTTTCTCTCCCGAATTTCTCTGTATGACTCATTTCCTCCTCTAGATCACTAACGCCTTCTGACTTTTCTTGAAATTCAGATTAGGAAGCTTACTTTGGGAGGATTGAAGTTCCGGGTTGAGCTTCGGCAAGGAATTCCACTGCTTCTCAGTTATTGGCTATTTTGAGCCAATTTTCAGGTGAAGGAATCTAGAGTGTAGATTGATTAAGTTGTTGGGTGTGGATTGAGTAGTTGTTGGCTTAAGTTGTTAATATGCTGTGTGTTGATAATATGTTATACGTTGTAAAAATTAAGTTGTTTCTATGTTGTTTATATAAGTTGACATTATAGATGAATTTTAAATATGTTATATATTGCTGAAGTTGTTTATAAAGTTGTTAAGTTGCATTAAGTTGATATTGTAATGACTATAGTTGTTTAATTAAGTTGTCTGCATGTTGTAAGTTGTCTATTGTTGTTAAGATGTATATTGTTGTAAAGTTGATGTAATGTCTATTGCTGAAAAGTTGTATGTTGTTTAAGTTGTTATGCTTATTAAGTTGTTGATCACTAGAACTAGAGGAGATGTTTTCAAAGTTGCTCATCTCATTGTGCAGATTGAGATATTTGTGGTGCTCTGAGAGCCCAATTTGTTAAAAACCCTCCTTGGGAAGTTGTCCCTTGGAGTGGACGTTGTATTGTTCTCCTCTAGGACTTAGTTGATCCCGTGTGTGGGCAAGGTCGAGGCACACGTGTACAAAGCGACCACGGTATAGGGGCCAGGCCGAGCTTATACTGATTACAAGCGACCAGATGTTGAGATACATAGTACTAAGGTGATAAGTTGAAAGTTATTTTAAAGTTGAAAGTTGTTTTAAAGTTGAATCCCTTAGTACTGTGTGGGCGACATGGAAATAGTCGATTCATGTCATGGTTGAATGACCAATTTGAGTAAGGTATCTAGTTAGAGATGTAGTCTTTGACTAGGTACTGGAGGGTACGTGGTACTTGGAGGACAGTGGGTGGGCTAACTCCA